CTTTGGACGGTGTCCTTTAGCATCAAGTTTTTCAAAAAACATGCATGCGCTAAAAGGTTTCATGCATGCCTGCATGCAAAAAGAAAATGTTGAACTCTCGCTGAGGGTCGAAATGCATGGGAAAAGAGTGTTTCCTGGAGGCTTCCTGCTACTGCATCGCAACAAAGTTTCTGTTGGCAAGTGCAACTTCAGGAGACCTGAGCACAGTTTTTCGTCTTGCATGCATGCATGCATATTATACATATATATATATATGTATATATATATATATATTATAGTACAATTATTATACGCATTAAACATCTACATGCGTGCATGGAAATGAATGCCCCCAAGATGCCAGCCACAACTTCTTCTTTCCCTTCAAGGGACGAAGCCATGGCGCTTCTTTCCACTCTGCACTTCAAACACAAGCTGCCCTGAGCAAAATGCCCTGTCACATACGCTGCATCATGCATACACTCAGACAGAAGCTCAAAGCATGCATGCACAGCCATCACAGCTGCATGGGGGGGGCGAACCTCTGGAAACTCGACCACGAGGCATGCCAGAAAGGCCCGGTATTCATGAATGCATGCATGCAGCAAACCTACATTTAGTGGCTGCCCTGCCCCCCCCCCCCCCCTCCCCCTCTCATTGCAAAACTCACGCATGCATGCTGACATTCTTTCACCTGCGCATCGGACACTTGAGCCACGCATGCCTTTAAGCTTCAAAAGTTGCACATATAGCTTTCATGCATGCACACAGATGGGATGCAACAATACAGCATGCATGCACTATATATGAATGACATTATATGCTTTAAGCTTCGGAAAGTTTTAAACACATCATGCATGCACCTGAGCTTTGAACCCACCACCCCTCCATGGCCCTACCCCCCCCCCCATGGCCCCTGGTCCGGCCCCTCGGCACGTGGTCCTTCCAAGGCCAGGGGTCGTGGCCTGTTACTGGGGCATGCGGGGGGCCCGCCACGTGCACAGCACATGGCGGCACGTGCTGTGCAGGGGTCGGGGATCCTCAGGGCACAAGCCGCAGTGCTGACGAGGCCGGAACGCACTTCCGCAACAACCTCGCCTGGCTGGAGAGAGTGATCACACTCTTGGGCTGCAAGCAAAACAAACCCTTTACCCTCTCCTGTGGGCCAGAGACCTGGCACAGCCTCAACCCCACACTCAACCGGAAGCACAACCTCGGACAGGGATCCCTCTGCGGAGACTCCTGACTCCCGCACGACTGGCACCAGCACCCCATCACCTGGCGAGAGCTCGAGCGGCTCTTCCCCGTCATAGCGGAGAAGCTCACGACTTCCGCCCCCAGGCTCGATGCATGACGCGTCGTCCAGGCTTGACAACCGCGCTTCAAAGGCATAGGCCCTGTCCTTCCGAGTCCTACTGTGATCCTCACATCTGGGCATCCTGATTCCCAGCGTGTCGAGGACATGAAAGTCGGGACCCGGCCTGAATCCCAAGCCCATCCTTCCGGCGCAGTCCAGCGCTCTGCCGCCGAGGATAAGTCCGTGCCAATCGGACGTGCCCCTGGCTGCGATTTTACATCGCACGAAAATTTCGGTGTTGGGGCGACAATCGTCCGCCGTCCTGCCTTCCAGCAGCGTGACGCGCAAGACTGCTGCCCCCTTCAAAGGAACTGGGGCTCCCGAAGCAATTCCATGCACATATTCGGGGTGGACCCACTTCTCAAGTCTCACGACCGGGAAGCCAGGATCCTCAGTGCCGATCCCAAGCTCTGCAGCCCGGTTCATCATGCCTACCACGAGTTCCTCAGTCACGTGGTTTGCGCCGGCGCAACCGTCAAGCATGCACTCGACCTTACGGTCGAGGACCTGGACCACCGTCCTGTACTGGTAGCCTCCTGGCTCGTTGTCCGCCAGGTTCCACCAGTCCTTCGGCAGATCGTCCAAGGTGGCGAACTTGTCCCGCCCGCCCTTGCTTAACGGAAGCGCGTGCTGCTGCACCGCGGCGTGTCCTGCGGCTCCTAAGACGCCTGAGCTGCCTATCTGGACACTGAACGCGGCGAAGGGGTTAGACATGGAAGCACCGGAGGGCGGGGCCCAGTTGGCAGGCAAGGCCGGCGTCCCTCCTGAGGTCGTCAGGTTGTGGACCATGTCGCAGCTGGCTCCTTTCTTGCACGACCCATTCTTGGAGAAAAAAGGGGCAAACGGTGCCTGGTGGCTTTGCCGCGCCTTTGGCCGCAGCCTTAGGCTTTGCGTTGGCTTTTGCCTTGCCACCTCCCTTCCCTTTGCCTTTACCTTTCGCAGTGGCAAAGGTATGGTCACCCTTCTTGGCCGCGAGAGCTTTTCTGCGAAGCTCCTTGTCGTGGCTGTACGGGCAGGCATCCCCTTTCGGGCAATTCCCATGATCGCGAAAGTGGAAGCAGATCTTCTTGTCCGCTCCTTTGCCAGCTCCCTTCGACGTAGCAGCATACGTCTGGTCCGCGCCAGCTTTGGCCGCGGCAGCTGCTCCTTTCGCAGCAGCCTTCGCAGCGGCCTTGAGACTCTTAATCTCCTTCTGAGCCTCAGCCAGCGCGACCGCCGGGTCCGCGCTCTGCGAACCGGTGGCCGTGTACACAGAGTGGGAAACAGCCCTGTGCGCTGCTTCTCTCTGCTCGTACTCCAGAACGACTTTGTGGCTCTCCTCCCAAGTCTGCGGTCCTCGCAACCCGCCATCCTTGGGGTCGCCAGGCCACAACCTTTTGTCGTTCCGGATCTCCTTTTGGAGATAAGGGGGCATCTTGCGGAGGTATGAGAGATACAACTCTCGAGGGGTCTTCCCGAGACCTACTGCCTCAAGGTCCGCGATCGAGGCCTCAAACAAAGGCTCGAATTGGTGGCCTGTGAGCTTACCCTTAGCGAGAGAGGCGTGCTCACCATCCACGCGGACTTCTCTTTCCTCCCGCGATTCCCCGAACATCAAGTGTTTGTTCTTGATGCGGTCATACACCGCCTGTGGATCTGAGAGAACCTCTCCCGATTTCCACGCTGCGCGGTACGCGTTCGTGTACGTCTTCATGCGCGAGCCGCGGCAGCGCCCGCGTAGCGCTAACAGCTTTTCGCGCGCACTCATACCGCGACAGTTGTTGGCCAGCGCGCAGACGTCCTCGAACTCCTCGTAGAACAGGACAACGTCTCGCGCGTCCGACTTGTCGTCGGTCAGCGTCGGCCACGTGAGGTCAGTTTTGACCGTAGTTATGGAGCTTTGCCCGCCCCTCTGCGCTAACGCTTCTTTCAGCGCCTCAGTTTGGGCGGCGAGTGCGGCGGCGAGATCGCCCGCCGGGTGTTGGGACCCGGTCTGCGAACCTCCGCCGTCTGAACCTCGCTTCAGGGCTTCTATCTCCATCTCTAGCGCAGCAAGCTTCGCGCGCAAAGGGGAATCGCCGTCCGTCGCGCCCAGGACACGGGCCGCGGAAGGACCACCTGCAACCTCAGCAGTGTGCAAACCTCCACGGTCCAATCCTACCCCCAACCCACTTGCAGTCGCAGGCTGTGGGAGCCCTGGGGAACGCGGCCCCACGGCTTCAACTGGCACATCGGACGGGGAGCTCCAAACCTTCTCTTGGCTCGAGCTTTCTTTTCCCCCTAACGCGAGGATAAGCTCCCCGATGCATTGGATTTCGCGCTGAATCTCCTCTGCGTCTTCGGGGTCCTCGCCACCGCGCAAAGCCGCGACCGAGAACCTGGTCCGCAGCCGACGGACCATCTTCGTAGGATGCCAGTCCCCGCCTATCTTGGAGAACTCATCCGCAAGGAGGGTGGCTTTGGTGCTTAAGGCGTCAAGGTCACGGGAGCTCACCGTGACTCCATGCGCTTTCAGCGCGAGGACAATCCGCGAAACGCGCGTCAAGTAGTCCGCGACCGGTTCTTGGTCTGGACGGAAAATCGCGCGCAGCTCCGCCTGCAAGCCCTCTGCGGTGCCTGGCACTGAACCTGCTGTCGACGGCGGACCGGACGGTCCCGCCGGGCGGGACCCTGGTGCCGTAGCAGGGACATAGGCAGCACCGGTAGGGACCATGGCCAGCTCCCTAGCCGCGGCGCTGACGTCCACCCGCGGCGGACTGTCGCCTCCAGCGCCCGAGGCCTCAGGGACTAGCTCGGAGTCCTCTTCTTCTTCCTCTTCATCCTCGTCCTCCTCTTCGGCGTCATGGAGGAACTTCATGACTTTCCGCCAGAGAGCCGCCTCTTGCTCTGGCGTAGTGCTGACCCCATCCCGCTTGGACAATGGACGGCTGCCAGTCTCCCTACGCCACTTAAGCCAAGCGACGTAGCTCATCCGCTCGGGATAGGGAACGTCTCCACCCTCGATAGCTTCGAGGAGGGTGACGCCCTCAGCCTGACCTGCAACCTCTGCGGACATTGCCGCAACACAAGGCGAAAAGCCGCGCCTTGGTTAGCAGGCCGCAGGCGTGGCACGCGAAGCGCCGCGCCTTGGTTAACAGGCCGCAAGCGTGGCACACAGTCCACGCGTCCAGGTCACGGACCGCGACAGACAAGCAAAGCAATGCTTGCCCACTCGGGCCGTAGGCACAAGAGCTGTACGCTTCCCAGAACAGCCCCCAATTGTGAAGTCGACCAGCACTGGACTTGCACTAAGCCAATGCAATCACAGCCCGGTCACGCTGTTTTACGACTTCGTGAGTCCAAGCACTTGTGCAGCTACGCCTGAGTGCGTCCGGTCGGACCGCACAGCAACCTAGGAGCTACTGTACGACTCTACCGTGCTCAAAGGCACAAGCTCGGTACTTGAGCCAAAATATTGGCATTGTTACGAATTGCAAAACTACACATGCAAGGGAAAACTACAAGCTGCACTAGCACTAAGCAAGCACTCAATGCATGCTTTGACCTGCTCACAGTATGCATTATGTTTTATGTATCTTTATTTACGTGCTCGTTTATGTAGATACTGTAGACATGTTCATGTTTGTCATATGCAACGTTTGCGAAGGTTGTGTAACCATCGCAGAGCGTTCTTAACGGGAGGGGAATGGGCAGTAGTCTCAGCTCATTCCAGCAGCGAAAATCCCAGCAAGAAGGCAGTATCCTCTTCATCGACGAGGCCCACACACTGATCGGGGCCGGGGCCACCGGTTCGAGCCCTCAGAACGCGGCTGACATTCTGAAGCCTGCGCTGGCGCGCGGCCAGCTGCAGTGCATCGCCGCTACGACGATGGAGGAGTATTTCCAGTACTTCTCGCGGGACGCTGCCCTGGAAAGGAGGTTTGAAGTGGTGGAGGTGGAGGTCCGGGACTTAGTTCCAGCTTGGCCTTCTCCACTTCTCGTCGCTTTCAAGCTTGCTCACGTCTATGCTTATACATCATGTAGGGGTATAGTAGGATCCTCTTATAATAAGGACCGCAATCAGGTACCCCTAATTTCGGAAACCCCATGTGCAGCACACGTTAAAGTAGCAGGAAGTGCCCACTTAGGAGCCCACAGCCGAAGAGACGGTGGTGGTGTTGGAGGGCCTCCGCCATCACTACGACGCTTTCTTTAAATGCAAACCTGCCTTCCAGGTAGCATGATTCCATAGCCTCCCTGTGCAAGCCCTTTGTGTAGAGGTTGAAGTTGCCATGGAGGTGGCAGGCAGTTGCAAGTAGAATGCCCCGCCTGCCCCTGCTCATGCCATGAAAGGAGCGCTACCACGGAGTTCAGTGTCTTGGCTGTGAGTGGCCCCTGATAGGCGCAGACTTTGACTCATCGCTTGCCACGCTTCCATTTCTGGTCACCAGGTATTCTCACGCTCAATATATCTAGAGCCCCCCCGCCCCCACAGGAAAACTTCTATTCATCAGGGCCCCTAAACCCTTAACCTTAAACCCTATACTAAACCCTAAGCTCGTTTCATTCATCCTCGAGATCAAGCCGAAAAGCCTCACAACGGCCACCTGGTCAGGTTCCGTGATGATGCCTTATCCTCTGCCGCATCCTGGTCTGAGAGGTATCTGCCTGAGCGCAAGCTGCCAGACAAGGCATCGAGCCCACACGCGGGTACATGGGATGTACTATGGGATGTCAGGGGGCATTCCAGGAGAGACGAGTTCAATCGTCACCGGTCTAGTAAGCCTTTGACTCAGTCTTTGTACCGCGTAGCTGAGTAGATAAACCTTTGACCTTTTGCTATATACAAGCTGGCTGATTCGTCGCACCTTGTATGGTTGAAACGCGGGAGTCCCAAGCGTGGAACACTGCTGGATGGGTGTTTTTAGGGTGTTTAAAAATTAAAAACCAACAGATAAACCTGTAAATCAAGATCTTTTTTGCAAGACCTACTAAATTAACTCAGCGGGTTCTCTGGGGCGCATTCTCAAAATTTTCTCAGGCTTAGGCATGGGTTCAAGCTATAAGATGACTTGGGGGTAGTATTCCTTCAACCGGAATCACCCCTTTGTCGTGCCTTTCGCGCAAATTTTCGACCGAAACACCGACCACTACGTCGACCAAACCACCCCGCACCCCGCCCCGCCCCCGCCCCACCCCTCCCCACACGTGAGGCAGGCACAAGCAGCTACTGTAGGGCCTCCTCAACGAGTTGTTGATCCTGTCTGCATGACACAGTGGCCTTCAAGCAGAGGACCTAAGTCAATCTTCCGGCTAGTTTCGGTTGTGGCTGAGAGGCCATTGACGTGATGGACCGCAGTGCCGTCCTGGCCAAGGGCAGGGGAGAAGGTGATGATAGCAAGGCCGGGGTGGAGTTGTCCGAGTCTGGGTGGGCTCTTGAACTGAAGTTTCAGAGCATGGTAATGTATGTCAAATATTCGGCAAGCATGGGGTTTGATCCAGGTGTGTAGCTTTGCATCAGGTTGTCGTGCTGGGCATGTGGCTACGTGCCTGCCAAGCCTGTCAAGCCTGAACGACAGTGATCCGGCAAGTGCTAGAAGCACCTTGCTGTGCTGTAGTGGTCACCCTTTATGGCTACAAGGCGCCGGTCGCCCTTTGCGTAGCAGGGGTCCTTTGCGGCGGCGTGTTGCTGTCAGCGAGCGCCGTGTGGTGCGCCAAGCAGAAGTACCGTCCTTGACCCCAACAAATAAACCCCCAAACTTAAGCCTCAAACCCTCAAGCCCCTAAACCTGACTTCTCCTTGGATAGGCCCTCTATAGGGTTCATTAAGGGGATTTTAAGGCCTGATAGCCCCTCCTGGTATGTCCTAAAAGCCCTCTGCAGGTGTCGGTGACTGTGGCGGACGTCGCCGCCGCCCTGGAGGAAACTGTGGGCTTACGCCCCGGGTCTGATCCTAGCCTGCGATTAGGGTTTAGGGTTTAGGGTTTAGGGTTTAGGGTTTAGGGTTACTCTCTGGGGGGGGGCCTTGCGCGTGAAGTTGGGGTTTGCAGGGTTTGTAGGCCGTAAACATAGGGTTATTCTGGGCTTATGGGGTTGTAGTTTCTTTGAATACTCTTGGTTTTTTACTGATGCACGACCTTCACCCATCATGGCATCTACTGCCATGGTACCCAAACCCATGCACTGCAAGACTCATACGACCTTCCGATTCAGATGCGGTGCAATCTCTTGAATAGGATGACTTCTTTGAGCACGAAATACAGACCTGATTCGAAGGTGCCTACACAGCTATCGCCTGATTTGAGCCCAACCCCAAACTCTAAAACCCTAAACCCTATAAATCCGAAAAACCCTAAGCCCTCAACCCTAAACTCTAAACGCCTCCGCGCCCCCAAGGTGTCTGAAGTGGAAGCCCGAAGTATCCTCGACCTGGAGGCGTGCTCACTCAGTGTCCGCGGCTTTACAAACCCTACCCCTAAACCCTTTATAAACCCTAAACCTTAATCCCTAACAAAAACCCTAAACCCTAAACCCTAAACCCTAAACCCTAAACCCTTAACCCTACCCCTGACGCTATAAGCCCTAAACCCTATAGTACGCCCTAAGCCCTAGATGGGGTTGAGGGATCCAAGAAACCCTGCGCCCAAGATGGGAGTCATTCCAGTTTAGGGCCCGTTACACCTGCCCTTTCGTTAAGGAATCCTTGTTCATACTGCTCGACTTACAACAGAATGACACTCAGAAAAAGTACAGGCTGGTTAAAATGGCCTTGAGTCCTAATTACTAAACTAAACCCTACATGAAGGTAGACTTTGGCATCTAGCCCTCAGAATCCTGGAGTTAAGAGAACTATGCCTGAACACACACAAGACCCTACAACGGTAACACCCTAAAGACGAAAACCCTTACGACCCCCAAAGGCCCCATAATAGTAACAACAGTAGTGTTAGTACTTGTACATGTCATAGTTTGAGTACTTGTAGTAGCAGAAGAAATTGCCATAGTAATAATATTAATAGTACTAGTTGTGTCAGCGTATGAATTTTCACAGCAGAAGAAACTATCATAGTAATATTATTGTAATATTATAGTAATATTAAAGTAATATTATAGTAAGATTATGGTAATATTATAGCAATATTATAGCAATAATGCTGTAAAACTCTGAACCAGGAGGCCCTCCGCGCTCGCGTGCGCGGCCAGCGGGCCGCCGTACGCCTCGTGGCCGCGGCGGTGGCCCGGGCGCGGGTGCAACTCCAGGCCGTTTAAGGGCAGACCCCCCCGTTGTTGAATATTAAGAAGAACATACCATAGGGGTATAGGGTTAAGGGTTTAAGGGCAGACCCCCTTGGTGAATTTTTGACCCAGAACATACCATTTTTGTAGGGTTTAGGGTTTCGGGCTCAGGGTTTGGGGCTTGGAAGTCATAGAGGAGCATACCAATGTTTACTGTTTTAGCATCGGTTATAGTCAACAATCATTAGACCCTTGTTTTTGGTTTAAGAAGAGCATACCATTCTTACTCGTTTGGTAGCAGCTATAGTCAATAGTCATTGTAAGAATCAGAATCGCAGTCGTACTCAACCTCATAATGTGCAGGCTGCCGTGGGTGGAGTTCTGGCACTCCGGGGCTCCCTTTGAAAGCTACTTACAATTTGAGGTGGTCGAGAGAGCTACACCTGCTGTAGTACTTGTAGGGCTTCTGTTGAGCCTTTGGATTGAGTTCAGGGATGTTCCGTCTCATGGGATCTCGCCTTGTGTTTACGTACATGCGTGTATACCTTACCTACTACCCATTATCCATTTTGCAGTTGTCCATTCATCTTCTCTTCTCTGGTGCACATGTGAGCCCTCTTCCGATTTGAGACAGGTTCAGGGTTCAGACTCAGGGGTTAGGGCTTCAGAGTTTGTAGGCTTGTTTGGGCTTAGGTTTAGGGCCTGTTCGGGGTTTTAGAGATTGGAGTCGGGTTCTAAACCCTACACCCTAAACCCCAAACCCTAAACCCTAAACATCCCTAAACCCTAAACCGTAAACAACCCTAAACCCTAAACCCTAAACCGTAAACATCCCTCAACCCTCAACCCTAAACCCTAAACCCTAAACCCTAAGGGGTGGAGGGGAAGAGCTGGAAGGCTCCCAGAGAGGTTTGGGTTCTTACGTGGCCCCCTTGCTGAAAGGAGCTGCGCCGCCCTATCGCCTCCCTGCTGCTGTATGGGCCGCCAGGCAGGGTGTAGGTTTAGGGTTTAGGGTTTAGGGTTTAGGGTTTAGGGTTTAGGGCTTAGGGCTTAGGGCTTAGGGCTTAGGGTTTAGAGGAGATAGGACTGAGGCGGGGGTGGCCTTACAGAGTATGCCGCAATTTAGGTTTTGTGACCTGGACCCCCACTTGTTCCTGGGCACTTAGTTTTGCAACTCTTGTATCTCCATTTTCCAAAATGGCGTATTCCCAAAGGAGAAACGGCAACTTGCCGACTGTAGCCGAGGCTTTTCGGACCGAGAGTAGGCCCTTATAAGCTACAGTTAGAAGCCCCTGTAAAACCAAAAAGTGCACCCTCTGTATTCCTAGGTTCCTCTTGGGCCTAGTAGCCCTACACCCGAACCCAAGCCCTAAACCCTAAACCCTAAACCCTAAACCCTAAGCCCTAAACCCTAAACCCTAAACCAAGGTGTGCATCTTGCACTGGTGATGCCCTTAGGTCAAACGTCGGCCGGACATGGTGTCAGTCGTAGCTCGAGGGTCCTAAACCGCTTCATGCAGGTTTAGGGTTATAAAGGGTTTAGGGTTTAGGGTTTAGGGTTTAGGGTTTAGGGCAGGTGTGGGCAAGACCTCGCTTGCGGCAGCCTTGGCAGAGGTGTCCCTGGGTTCGCGCAATGCTATGGTGAGGATTGCCTCTCGGCTTTAGTAAGCGATGTAATAATAGAATTGTAAATTAGTGAAACGATTGCACGAATTCTATAAATAAATACGCTAACTTCAGAACGAAACCTGGGCCGTGAACCGTCTATTGGATTACAAGTACTAGCCCATAAGGTGCAATCGTTATGTGAATACATAAAGTGAATCCGTGTATAAGGGACGCATGAAACGTATGAACGAAACGTAAGAACGAAATGAGAAGACATCAGAAAATAATATAATAATATTATGTTAAGATACGACCATAAGATAGCAATTAATTTGTCTACAGGAAATTGACCACCTATCCAAATAAAAGAACAAGTGAAAGAAACCAACAGCACAGATAAAAACCACCTACATTGAACCGTTTGTCATCGCAGTGTGAGGATTGTGCGAGCGCTGCCAGCGCGGAGGGCGCAGGAGATGTGTGGGAGGGTCACTCCAAGGCTTGCAGTTGATGGGGCTGCTCATTTTAGGGTTTAGGGTTTGGGGTTTACCCTAACCCTGAAACCCTAAGGCCTTAATGAACCCTGAGTGATCTGCCGACCAGGAGCTGCTTTGGTCAAAGGTGTCCGCCGGCGTCCACACTCAGTGGCGACTTAGACCACACAGGTTTAGGTTTGAAGTATTAGGAAACACGAAACCCTAAGCTCATTGGGGTTTAGGGTTTTCATAGGGCTTTATAGGGCTTGAGCTTGAAGCATAGACCGGCAACTCCAGTTTCAGGCAAGGTTTGGCCGTCATAAACCTGCGAGAGAGCCTCCAGAATATCGAGGGGAGCTTTGCAAGGAGCACCAGGGAGTCTTTCGCACCCTCAGTTTCTCTAACAACCCTAAAACACACCCCCAAAAAACCCTCAACCTAAGAAAAATTCCCTCAAAAAACCCTCAAAGCACCCTCAATAAAACCCTCAACAAAAACCCTCAAAAACCCGAAAAGTCGAACAACACAAACAAAAAAAACCATCCTAAAGACCCTTCACCCTGAGGTCCTCATCGACGAGGCAGACAAAGCGCCCCCCGAGTTCCTGGGGCTGCTTCTGGAAGTCATGGAGGTGGCGAAGAGCGACTGAAACTCACCAGGGCCTCTGTTTAGGGCTTAGGGAAATTCAGGGTAATTAGGGAAATTAGGGAAATTAGGGAATTTTGGGAAATTTGGCAAATTTGGGAAATTAGGGTTCAGGGCATAGGGTTTAGGGTTTAGGGTTTGGGGTTTGGGGTTTGGGGTCTTGACAGGGTGTTTCAAGGTTTCTGCTTTAGTTTAGGATTTTCTTCGGGGGGTTTGTTGGCAAGGGCCCCTCCAAGAGGTTCAGTGGAAGCATGAATTACTTCAGAGCTTTATCTTTCCCGGCACGAAGCCTGCCGAACTTGGCGGAGTTCGATCAACTTGAAACCCTAAACCCTAAACCCTAAATACTCGTGCTTTCGTGACTTGTGCGCTATTGCAGGAAGCATCTTTGACCCTGTCCGGGGCGGACGGCGTCGGCCGTGCTGATTTCCGTCACACCGCGCCTTGCCGTCAGCATTGAAGCTGTTGCTGCCGGTGTGTTCTTTGCATTCGGGCCACCACGTTATGGAGTTTGCAGGGTTTGCAGGACTTATCGGGTTTATGCAGCGTTTATCGTCAGGATATACAGCCTCCTTCAACCTAAGCCCCAACTAACCAACCGAGGTGGTCATCCTCATCCTCACCCTAAACCCTAAACCCTCTCTACCTATGTATATTTAAACCTTAATGGGGTCGTGTTCTGATTATGATTTTTTGAGGCTTTAGGATTTAGGATTTAGGATTTAGGATTTAGGATTTAGGATTTAGGATTTAGGATTTAGGGTTTAGGGTTTAGGATTTAGGATTTAGGATTTAGGATTTAGGATTTAGGATTTAGGGTTTAGGATTTAGGCTCTGGGGGCGGTGCCGACTGCGGCCTTCGTTGCTGGACCAGAGGCCCTTTTTCGGGCTCAGCCTGGGCCACTGCTCAAAAATCGCGTTTTTCGGCTTGAGCCCCTGTTTTTTCCATCTTCGAGCCTGGGAGGCCCCTGGGAGGCCCCTGGGAGGCCCCTGGGAGGCCCTGGGAGGCTGTCCCGGTCACCCCGGGACAGGTTGTCCCGGGGCCCCCCCGGGACAGGTTGTCCCGGGGCCCTCCCGGGACAGGTTGTCCTGGGGCGTCCCGGGGCGTCCCGGGGCTTTCCTGGGACAAATGTCCCGGGGCCCCCCCGCCAGGACAGCTGTCCCGGGGGCCCCCCGGGACGCCCACGAGAGCCCACCCAGAACCGTCGATTTCAGTTCGCATTTTTAATAGGGACCCGGGCCGATCCTGGCTGGGGTCCCCTGCGTTTGAAGTGTTTTTAGAGGCAAACTTTCCCTCTCAAGGGGGGTCGGAGTTTGAGGCAAGGGGGGGGTCTCCGAAGACTATTTGGCCTTTAAAATTGAAAAATGCCACCCACGATCCTGGGGTCCCCCCATTTGGGGTGCAAACTTTCCCTCTCAAGGGGGGTCGGAGTTTGAGGCAAGGGGGGGTCTCCGAAGACTATTTTGCCTTTAAAATTGAAAAATGCCACCCCCCCTTGACCAAAACCAGGCAGGGGCGACTGTTCATCAGAGCTGAGGCTTAAAAACCTTGAAACACCGTGAAAAACATTGAAAAACCTTAAAAAACACTGAAAAACTCTGAAAAACCTTGAAAAATTGGAAATTTTTGAAACCGGCGAAGGCTCGGTTTTGGTCAGAAAACCCAGAAAACCGACGCGGCTGTGTATCATCCGCGTGCCGAATGGACTAGACAGTGCCGAATCGAGAAAGAATGTTGCGAGCTAAATGATCAACTAAAGTAAGAAAGAAGATATGTAATTCAGATGAAGAGGGATCTGGGAGGGAGGGGTGATGCCAAACACGTAGGGTGATGACAGAAACCCTTAGTGAATGCTTGGACCAAAGATGCTGAACCCTAAACCCTAAACCCTAAACCCTAAACCCTAAACCCTAAACCCTAAACCCTAAACCCTAAACCCTAAACCCCCCCGAACCCCAACTCTGCGAGGTGGTCATCCTCACGTCCAATGACCCGGCGGGGCCTTCGTCCTTGCCGCGGGCGCTGGCCGACCGCCTCGACGGCTACGCCTGCATGCGGTACCTCTCCTAGCTCCTAAGGGGTTTAGGGTTTAGGGTTTAAGTGTTTATAATATACACATGCATAGAGATGCAGATATAGATGTGTACTGGAGGGTTTGGGGAGAGTTTGGGGAACTGTGGCTGCGCAGCAGATACGAATGTACGGGTGCATGGAAGCCAGTGTAGTACTGGAGGGAACTGGCAGTGCAGCAGGAGTTGGAGCAAACCCTTGTTCACATCCTGCGTTGCTTGTCCTCAGAATCCTAATCTGACATTGAGATGCCTCACTGCACACGCGGCTCGTTGAGCCAGTATGCAGATCCAGCATTATACTGATTATACGAGTGGGTGCTCTGACCACATGGGCGAGTCATTCTTCCCCCGACTTCATACCGCAATCCTTGACGTGTACACTCTTTCAGCAACTTCCGCACCTCAACATGAGGTCGCTGTCTTCTGACACGCTCCGCGAGGCCGGTCAGCTGAAATGCAAGGACAGCTTGAACCAACATAGCATTCGCTGAGATTCCACCCCCTTCATCTCCCAGCTCCCGTATGGAAGTCCCCCCCCTCTTCACAATCCTTCTCCGCAAGAGGTTGTTAAACATCTACGCAGTACAGGAAGCTGTGCACCAGGTGCATGTGGAATGCACACCAGAGCCTCGGAACGTCTTGTCGACGACAGGCTCGAACAAGGACACACACCGCAGCGAACCCAGGAAAAGTGCGGAGTGTCCCAGCTTTTCAGTTAGCTTTAGATTGACCCTATCTTTGACATGGTAGCGGAGCTGCCGTTCCAGGAACCAGAGGCAGCGATGATGCTACACATAGCAGGAGTAGGAATCGTCCTCATAGCCATGATGGCTTCTCTCGTCTGTGGGATGATACAAATGTGGAAACAGGAAAAGAACGTCGAAGTCCGAGAGTTCTTCGAGTACCTCCCCACAGTCCGGATAGCAACAAGAGCAGGAAGAAGGTACCACAAACCAGGTTGTGGTCACATCAGAAACCTGACGGTTGCTGGTGGAAGAGTGAGGGACTTTGCCCCTTGCTTCAATTGCTTCCCTGAACGATACACGATTCAGGAAGTGAAGACGAGGAACATGAGATGCTACGGAGTGGCAGCAGGCATAGTGCTGCTGGTTGGTTTTGCCCTGGGGAGCCTCGCCACTTTGTGCGGGATGAGCATGACTCCAGGAAGATATGGCTTCGAAGAGAATCCGTGGCAGGCCCTTGGACCCGGAAGAGCCAAGGATGAACTTGCCCTTGGAGATGACAGATCCTCCAAGGAAGAAAGACGTGGGAGAAAGGTGATTGCCGAGATTGACGAGAGTGAGTTGATGGTTGTGTGGACGAGCACCCCAGGAAAGCCCAATACGCATTCTCAGAAGAACTACGACAAGTACTCCGTGAACCAGGACTTCATGAATGCCTACACGATTAGGAGCATCGACATGTACATGAGTGAAGAAGATGAGAGCCTTGAGTCCGGCTACGCTCCTAGGTACCTAGTAGATGAGAACCTAGTAGATGAGAAGCTAGAAGAAGGAAAGTTTCACAATGTAGAAAAGATCCCTTTCAAGGAACAGTTCGAACAGCTAGAAAAGAAGTTTCACGACGTCGTGCACAGCTTAGTGTTTGAAGGAATTCATCTCGTAGTTTTCGCAGGAACACCTCTAGGAATGATTACTTGGATCATCCTATCGTACTTCTCACGATTGTTCTTTACAGCAGTACAGAAAAGAACGAAGAGAGCGAAAGAGCCCAAAAGGAAAAGCAGGAGAAGAAGAGCAGAAGTGAGGAGACAGCACAAGACAATGTTTCTTGTTGTGCTTGTGTACAGCAACTTGGAAGCAGCCAAAGGAATGGAAGATGCACTACAGAGACTTGCAGAAATCAACCAGCAAACGCTTCAAGGAATACAAACCTTAGCAGAAGAGATGAGGAGCAGTGCAGCAGCCGGCACAGCCCGAGAGCAAAGCATCACAGCAAGCTTCAGCAATACACTACAGGCAATTCAGCAGCAGAGTGCAGAGGCACAGCACACTTTGCTTCAAGCACAGGAAACAGCAGTGACAACTTTCGAGGAGATCGGAAGCAGCCTAGAGAGAGCAGTGAAAGGAAGAAAGCCAGGTGACGTGGAGCTTCACAAACTCATCAAGCCTCCAGAAGTATTTTCTCCAGGAACTTGGCAAGAAGAAAAGAATGGTTTCATGGAGTTCAAGCAACGACTTCGAGTCTGGCTTGGCGCTATGGATGAGGATCTTGTGGAAACCATGGACCTCGTGGAGAACGACCTGAGGAAGAATGAAGTGCTGGACATGAAAGATATGACTGATGAGGCCAAAACGCAAAGCAGGAAGTTGTATAGCATTTTAGCGTCTTACACAAAAGGCAGACCGTATCGTGTGGTTCGCCAGACGACAGAAGAGAACGGTATGGAAGCCTATAGGATGCTGTTGTTAGAATACCAGCCTGTGAATAGAGCAAGATCGCTGGAACTTTTCCACAACATCATGAATTTCCGTTTTGCCAAGGACAAAGGCATTGCAGAGAACATCCTCGAATATGAGGAACGCATTGAGCAGTACGAGAAGTCCACTGGAGAAAAGGTGCAGGAAAACTTGAAGGTTAGTACATTGATTCAAGGAATGAAGCCTGAAGTAAAGAGACATTTGTTGCTCAACCTAGATGAGAAGACGAAGTACCCGGCACTTAGGCAGTATCTTGTGAACTATGAGTCAACTGAGAAGTGGACCAATTCGCTTACGCAGTCCCAAGGAACACCCTATAGGACCACTACTGACCTAATCGACAAGGGAGAAGATCATCAGGGTGTTGCAGCCATGGATGTGTCTCAGGCTTGGAAAGGCAAAGGTAGAGATTGGTACGGGTACAAAGGTAAAGGAAAGAAAGGTGGTAAGGATTCAGGCAAGGATTCAGGCAAAGGTGGTTTCAAAGGTCGAGGCAAAGGAAAAGGTAGAGGCAAAGGCAGAGGTGGAAACTGGAAAGGCCGAGGTAGAGGCTTTAGAGGTTTCAAAGGCAGAGGAAAAGGCTACAAAGGGTTCAAAGGTAGCTACAAAGGTAAAGGCAAAGGAAAGGCCCAAGCAGCTACAGGAGTTTGCCATTACTGCCAGAAGTATGGACACTTTGAGGCCCAGTGTAGGAAGAAACAGAGAGACATGGGGTACACGGCTAGGAATGTAGAAATGCAGGAAACTCAGAGTGAAGCCCCAAGTAGAGGAACAGCCTCAACCCAAGCTCCAACATCGAGAACAGCGACAACATCAGCCAGTTCATCAGGTCAAGGAACCCAGAAGCCGATCATCAGGATGGTAACAATGCACCACATCGGTGATCCACCGACCAGCTTTCCTGAGGAGTTCGAGCTGAGCGAAGACTCTGAGGAACTTGAAATTGACTACTTCGGGAGAGTTTTGATGGTTTCGGCTAGTTCAGGAAAGTCAGGGCAGGAATTTCAGATTGGAAGTGAGAGTGATGAAGAGAGTGAAGACATAGAGAAGGACCCCTTGTACTGTTGGTACACCTCAGAACCAGAGAACTTTGTTAGGACAGTGAGAGAGAGCCCAGGTGCAAAGGAAATTGAGGTTGTGCTTGACTCAGGCGCAGATATCTCATTAGCCCCTGTGTGGATGCGAAATTTCGGTAGGAAGGTCCCGGACCGACGCAGGATTGAACTCCGAGACGCTCAAGGAACTAGGATAAAGGTACAGGACCAGCGGGTTATTGAGGTTGAGTTTGAGGATGTTGGTGGAAACTGTGTGAAGGTTGAGGAAGTCTTCTTGATTTCATCAGTTGTTCACCCTCTCTTAGCTGTAGGAAAATTGTTGAAGAAAGGTTGGGAATTTCGGAACGGTAGTGAGACAGGAACTTTCTTGGTTGAAGGAAACACTTCCATAGCAGTAGCTTACAACAACAATTCCCTCACCGCTAAAGCTTTTGTCAGGACAGTCTCGACATCCCAAACAACAGGAGTCCCTACGCCAATCTATCTCTGTGAAACGCTTAGGAACCTCGTAGCTGAAGGTCGAATTGGATGGACAAGTGTGACCGAGCCCTATGTAGTCCACTACAGCCCAAAGAGCTCAGAGCATGTTGACCCAGCTATGATGTATCCTCAAGGAAAACATCCTTTCAGAGCTGTTTTGGTTAGAGACACCGAAGGCTGGCAGCTCTTGCACTACAACGAAAGGTATGAAGAGCTAGAAGAACCTTTTGGCCACATCTATGATGAGAGCCAGAACTTTGAGGTATTGACCTTGATCTCGTCCAAGGCATTTCCTCCTTACCTCATAGGAACACCCAAGAAAGAGGAAGACAGACGTACATTTGAAGAGTACACTGATGACAAGTGGTCTCTTAGCAAGGATGGAACTGAACTGATCAGGTACCACCACACGCCCAGGAAGACACGTTTTCATCCGCTCGACTTGAAGGACATTCCCGTAGAGCGTGAGAACCTCCAGAACGAGAGATCCACCTACGGAGAGGACCCAGTGAACCATGAGTTCTTTGAGGACAAGATGCCATGGGTTGCAGATGAGTATGACGAGTTCTCATCACCTTTCGGAGTGAGATCATGGACAGGACAGTCTAAGTTCAGGTTGGTCTACCCAGTAGATGGTTCAAAGGCCCAACAACAGGAACAAAGGCTCAAAACAGTCCCGGAGAATGAAAGCATGGAGATTGACGAACAGGAACCACAGGCCCCTGCACACAGGTATGAACTTCATGGAGAACTTACGTTCATTTATGATGGACATGAGTACAACCAGCAGAACAGCCTGAAGATCCTCAAGGAATTGTGTACAGAACTTGGAGTGTCTAAGAATGGCTCAAAACAGGACCTCCTTAGAAGGCTCAGTAGGAAGATCATGGAAGATGAGAGACGGTTAGGACTCAACACTGCTCAGAAGAAGTACCAGGAATATGCCATTCCACAACCGCTCAAGGACCAAGTCATGCCCAAACCTGAAGAAGTTGAGGTACACAATTTGACACATTTACCGT